ATGTTAATGAACAATATTACGGGAGAACATCAAGCATTACCACAAGAGATGTGAATCCAAGAAACATATATTATTTGATCAGTTCACGTTGTGGTGGGAGTCAAAATGATAGATTTCCCTATTTCTACATTCTTACCCTTTGATATACCTTAAGCGTGAAAAAGGTACCCCTTTCGGGCGGAGCCTCCCAGTATAGACCATTATAGCGAGAACACCCCACGGAACTCGACAACGGATATTTATATGAATTTGTACTTGTAACTGGTAAGGATTGATTTTATTGATTTTCATTGCAGTGAGGTTTGATCTTAGCAAACCTTTTACCTTCAGAACAGTACCATTCAATGTATTTGCCCTCGGTATTGACCTTATCAATTAACAACGTCCGTTAAGGAAAGGAAACAACGAAATCAAACAAACCAAAAAACAAAACTGTCGCCGATACTCTTCCAGTATTATCCCGAGCTAGCTTGGTTAATTAGGGAGATTAAGGAAACCACGACAGCAACGGAACGACAGCGTTACCAAACAAAAGGTTTAACGAATAGAACTTTTGCTGTGCACGTTCGTTTAAATCTTTGTACAATACTGTTAGCCATGTTTTGTCAAACACCAATGTGAAATAACCAAGTTCTGCCTGTTTGGAGAACGTGAACCATGACGGCTAATTCTTCGTATTTCCTGTTTTGGAATTAACACTGCCGATACCTATTTAACTTGAACATGTTCTTAGACCGATAGGTGTACTGAAGAGATCTAAGTAACCTCAAAATTCCAAGACAAAATGTCAATCTCGATTCCAGGGCTTTTCCTTTAGAGATTGGGACTACAGTGAAATCTAAAAATCTAAAAAATCTAAATTTGTTTTTCAAGACGTTGTCCTCAGCGTCGCCGTTGTGGTTGCTTGAGCTCCCTAACAAGAGATTTATTATACAACTTTCTGTAGTTAGAAGTAACCATGTAATACCAACATTACATCTGCTAAAGCATTCAAACCATAATTGTTTAAGCCAAGCGGGTTATCTTCGTGCAGACCTTCTCAGCTGCCACGGCGGTACGAAGACGTCAGTATGAGTCCTCGTTTACAACACGTTGGAAAAATTTGAAAACGCAGCTTTATTCCCTACGGGTAGGCATACTACCACACGAATCCATCACGAAAACGGAGCTTTTTGAAAACGCTCTTTAAACGGGAGGAATTTAAAAACACCGAGTTTTCGTTTCCGTGTGGAGGAAAAAAATTTTGAAAACGAAGCTTTACGAAAACGATGGCGGCACGATAATCATGTGATTTCCCTGACCCAGGTTTTCTCAACAACAATCCAACATGGCCGATGATAATTGAATTTGTAAATTCCTATGGAGTAGTGTGGACGGAAACATTTTGAAAACAGAGGTTTTTGAAAACGATAACGTCTTGAGCTTTTCTGCCGCACATGATTGTTGCGTATTTAAATTTCTCAGGCGTAGTGAGGACGGAAAACATTTGATTCTTTTTCGGAGTGAACACTCTCTTTTCAAATTTCTCCAGCGTAGTGTGGAC